GCACATTTGCCGACTAGTTGTTCATTAGTGCGGTAGAAGTAAGTGGTTTGTTGAGTTTGATAATTGAAGTGACGGAAAACTTTTTGATTTTTCGCAAGATGCTGGCCAGTTGCGGCATCTAGTTTGTGTTTAGTGATTAGTAAAGCGGGTTTTTCTTGGTAATCATAAAGATTTTTAAAAAAGCGATAAGTTTTGTGATTATCGGTTAAACCATGCTGAGCGTAAAGAGAACGCAAGTGGAAGGACTTGCTGAGGTACTTGGCTAAGTAAGAAGAGATAGTTTTATAACCCGGGGAACGGCTTTCCACGCGGCCATAAGGTCATAATTGGCTAATGTAAGCCCGGCAATTTCAGCAGGAGGTGAAGTTTTTATCTAAGGTGCATTTGTGGGAATAGGGGACAATGGGAGTGGAGAGTAAATGGAAGTGTCAGATACCGTTTTTTTGTAATTCGGAGACGACAACTCATTTTCATCTGCTGGGTTTTCATAACCGACGAATGCGGCGTAAAAAAAGTGCTAAGTAGTAGTTAGCGGAATCATGTTGACTGACCGCGGAAGGGACTTTTTGGATAAAGACTTTCAGTGGTTCGGCTTGGTGGTCAAAGTTAGTGGCTCAGTCTTTGAGTCAGTTATTTTTTTTAGATATCGGTTCTCAAACTGGATCTTCTGGATTTCAATTAGTAGTAAAAGCGGAATAGTTGTTGTGCTTGGTGTTGAAAGTGAGAGTTAAGAAAAGGAGGGGTTGATCGGCTTGGGTTCCTTCAAAATTAGCCTCTACTTTATCTAAGAAGCGAGTGTAGAGTTTTTTTTCTTTGGAGTTGAAGAAGGCGAAGTAAGTGCAGTGTTGGGCATCTTGGAGGCAGTCATCTTTGGGTTTAGGTGGGTTAGAGATATCATGCTGTTGTGCATGGTTTTTAGGTTTATCTAAGTAAAAAGATTGAGCCGAGTTTTTAGAAAGAGTGACAGAGATGCGGTTAGTGGATTCAATATGTTTAGTGGAGACTGATAAGACTGAAAAGGAAGTGTGGTCTTGAGTTAAAAAGGCTTTTAAGTCAGAACGATTGACTTGTTTGATTGCTGAGAGGTCATTCAATAGTTTTTGGGGTGATTTAAAACAGGAGGTTGTGTTGCCATTAAAAAATATATTTTATAATAAGATAGTAGTTCGGTCATGCTATAAAAGATAAAAATAATTATATATGGCTAATACTAAAGTAACTTTAACTATCACTATTCCCGAAGACGTTCATAAAAAATTGAAAAAAATTGTTGGGTTAGGAAAAGTAAGCGAATTTGTCAGCAAAGCGATCGAAAAGGATTTAAGAGAGAAAGAAGAAAAAATTATTTCTGATTACCAGAAGCGAGCCAAGGATAAAGAATTAAGGAAAGAAATGGAAGGCTGATACAAAATCTAGTTGTAATAAAGTAAATGGATAAAAAAAACAATTTGGATAAAATTTTGGTAAAAGGACAACCGAGCCACACGTCTTCTGAACACCAGTTTACTCTGGAAAGAGGTTGAGTATACTGATTTGACCCAGCAAAAAAAACGGAAATTGATGTTTCTCCCCTGATGGTTATTTTGAGTAATACCATTCATAATAAACTTTCTGACCACATAGTTGTTGCTCTGGTAAGTGGTAAAAATGTCGGAATGAGTAATAGTTTCGAAGTGTATTGCGAAGTAGAGGGTCGAAAATTAAAAGTGCTGGTTAGTGAAATTCATACTATTCCCAAGGATAGATTTTTCGGCCGAGCAATATATTTAGGAAAAATGAAAAAGGAGCAGCGAGAAGAAGTTAATGAAAAATTGAGATTAATTTTACAGTTGAATAATTAAGAAAATTTAATTTCACGAAGGTTATATCCATGTTGAGCGAAAAAACTATTGTGGCTTTGGTAACGTCCCCCATTACTCAAAACATCGCCTTAATTCGCTTATCTGGACCGCAAACTTATTCAATAATTAGTCAAATTTTTGATCGTACTCTGCCAGAATATCCTCAAAAAAAGTCGCAATTAATTTTTGGTAAAATTACTAACTCTCAACAAGAAACTATTGATGAAGTATTGTTGCTCTGTTTTTATAAACCAAGTTCATTTACCGGTGAAGACGTGATAGAAATTAGTTGTCATGGCAATTTATTCATTGTTAATCAAATATTACAATTGGTCCTAGCAAAAGGTGCTGAGTTAGCCCAAGAAGGTGAATTCACCAAACAAGCTTTTTTTAATGGTAAATTGAATTTAGTTCAGGCCAACGCCATCAATGATTTAATCCGTGCTCCTAGTTTAGCCGGAGCCAAATTGGCTCTCCATAATTTAAGTTCTGAAACCCAACAAGAATTAGAGATTATTGAAAATGAGTTACTCGATATTATTGCCACTATCAAAGTAAATATTGATTACCCTGAATATGATGGAGTAGAATATTTAACTGGTAAAAAAGTTCTTCCGCGGTTAAATAAACTGTTGGAAAAATTGTTAACAATGAAAAAGGATGGTCAAAAAGCCCATGTCTATCAAGAAGGACTAAAAGTAGCCATTGTGGGAAAGCCCAATGTTGGTAAATCTACTCTTTTGAATGCTTTACTGCAAGAAGAAAAAGCAATAGTTTCTCCGATTGCAGGAACTACTCGTGATATAATAGAAGCACATTACAATTTGAATGAAATCCCCTTAATTTTGTTGGATACAGCTGGTATTCATGAAACTTCTGACCTAGTGGAAAAAATTGGAGTAGAGCGAAGTTATCGAGCCTTAGAGCAAGCCGAAATTATTTTTTTTTTAGTGGATAACTCCCGTTTTTGAACTAAAGAAGATGATAATATTTACCAAAAAATTAAGGAAAAAAATTTCTTGCTTATTATTAATAAAACAGATGAACAGACTAAATTGACTCTTCCTTCTGATATTTCTTCAGCAAAAATTTGTCGTATTAGTGCCAAAAATAGACAATTAAGCGAATTAGAAACTAAAATTAACGAATTATTTGCCAGTGACTTGATAAATAATTTGTCTCCCTATCCTTATTTAAGCAAAAGTTGACAACAGGCCAAGCTAATTAAGTTTATTCAACAATTAGAATCAGTAATCAAAGAGTTAAAAAAAGAAGCTTATCTAGATGCGATCTGCAGCGATTTAGAAGTGAGTTACAAATTAGTAAAGGAATTGAGTGGCAAAGAATATAATGAAGATTTATTAGACATCATTTTTAGTAAGTTTTGTTTAGGGAAATAGAGGAGAAGCGCAAAAATTTAATCGTTGTTTTGTATTTATTGACAACTCTCACAATCACTATTTAACAAACATTCTTGATTATTTCGTTTTTGGGTGTAACCAAACTTGGCAGCATCCAAAGTGGAACTTTCAATCCGACTAGCCCCTAAGGTTCGTAAATAATAAGTAGTTTTTAAACCTTTTTCTCAAGCAGCAAAATAAATATCATTGAGTTTTTTCCCCGAAATTCCTTTCATAAAAACATTATGACTAATACTTTGGTCTATCCACTTACTCCGCACAGCGGCAATTTCAATCATTCACAAAGGGTCAATTTCAAAAACTCCACAATATTTTTCTTTTAAATTCTCGGGAATTGTTGGTATATTTTGGATGCTACCTTCATAATATTTAATTCGGTCTAATGTGTCCTGATTTCATAAGTCAAGTTTTTTTAGATCTGCAACCAAGTATTTATTGACGATCGTGAATTCTCCGGCTACATTTGACTTAACATAGATATTGCTATAGATCCCTTCGATACAAGGATAACAACCAGCAATATTAGCAATAGTAGCAGTTGGAGCAATTGCCATAGTATTAGAATTCCTCATTCCATGCTTTTTTACTCGCTCTTTCAGATCTTCTCAATTTAATTTACTTTGTCGATTAGTTTTTATCGGTAATTCTCGCTCCTTTTCTAATAGGTTCAAAGTATCAAGGGGGAAAATTCCTCGTTCTCACTTTGAACCCTGATAACTACCATATGTTCCCTTTTCTTGGGCTAATTGGGAAGAGGCTGAAATCGCGTAATAAGAGAACTTTTCCGTTAAATGGTCAGTAAACTCCAGTGCTTTTGGAGAATTATAATTGATATTTGTTTGGAAAAGAGCATCTTGAAAGCCCATCATCCCTAAACCAATTGGTCGATGTTGCAAGTTAGAATATTCCGCCTCTTTGGTTGGATAATAATTAAGGTCAATAACATTATCCAGCATCCGAATAGCAATATTAATAGTTTCTTGTAACAAATTATCATCTAATTTCCCTTCGCTGATGTGGCGAGCCAGATTAACCGAACCCAAATTACAAACTGCTGTCTCCTGAGCCGAAGTATTAAGTGTAATTTCAGTACAAAGATTAGAACAATGAACTACTCCAACATGGTCTTGTGGTGAGCGAATATTACAACTATCTTTAAAAGTAATTCAAGGATAACCAGTTTCAAATAAGCGAGTTAGCATTTTTCGTCACAAACTAGCAGCTGAAATTTTTTGGGTTAATTTGATATTTCCTTGCTCCGCCTCTTGTTCGTAGTGAATATATCTCTCTTCAAACTTTTGACCGTAAAGATGATGTAAATCAGGGGTGTCAGAAGGAGAGAAAAGAGTTCAGTTTTCTCCGTCTCTTACTCTTTTCATAAATAAGTCTGGTATTCAGGCTGCTAAATTTAATTCGTGAGTTCGCCTTCTTTCATCGCCAACATTTCGGCGTAAATCGAGAAAATCCTCAATTTCTAAGTGTCATACTTCTAGATAAGCAACACTGGCTCCCCGCCGTCGTCCAGAACGATTAATGGCTCCGGTGGTATCATTGGCTAGTTTCAAAAAAGGAACCAAACCGGTGCTTTCAGTAGCAATACTTTTGATCAGTGAGCCAAGAGCCCGCAAATTAGTTCAATCGGTTGCCACTCCGCCCGAATATTTTAAGAGATTAGCCTTATCACCCAAGGATTTAAAAATATGGTTTAGGTCATCCTCAACAGTCGTTAAAAAGCAAGAACTCAATTGGGCTCGGGTTAAGCCGGAATGAAACAAAGTTGGAGTACTGGGAACAAACCGCAAACTAGAAATAAGGTGATAGAAACTAATTGCTTTTTCATTTTTATCTGGCTCATTTATGGCTAAGCCCATTGCTATTCGCATTCAAAAAATTTGTGGTGTTTCATAAAGAATATTATCGCGCCGGAGTAAATAACGACCAATTAAAGTTTCTAATCCCAAATAATTAAACAACTCATCTCTTTCAGGAATTAATATTTGACTTAATTTTTCTAGGTCAAATTCCAGTAGACGCTTATCAAGTATTTGCTTTTCTACCAATAATTTAATATTAGTAATGAACAATTGCTGATAAGTATTTTGATTTGGCGAAGTTTGAGCGAAAATTTCTCAATAAGTTTTGCGTAGTAAAAAACTAGCGGCTAATTTATCATAAGCGGGGTCTTTTTCCAAAAAACCAGTTGCGGTAAGAAGAACAATATTAAATATTTCGCTGATGGAAACATCTGCTCGAATACTTTTCTCTACTTCCTGATAGAAGATATTTATATCTATCTTGTTAGACTTCCCTAATATTTGGTTAATTGTTCCAATTATTTCTTTTTTTTTATTGGTTACAAGAGGGGAAGGCATTTTGGGAGGGAGAAGAGAAAAGGAGGGTGGGTTAATATTTCCACCCTCACTTCTAATTTCAACAGCTTTTTTTGTTTCAACTAGCGGCTGCTAAAAAATTTTTTGCTTTACTTTTTATTCAGATTATTTTGGAAATTACTTTTTTATTCAGTTTCCTCACTACTGTTGGATTTTATGAAATAAGCGATTGCTCCAAGCACTGCCAACACTGCGACAGCAATTATAGTTATACCTCATGGACTAGTTCAAAAATTATCATCCTTTGGGCCTTTATTAGGGCTATTTTGCTCAGGAATATTATCATCTTTAATTTTCTTTTTCATGTTTTCTAATTTCGTAGTGGCTTCGCCTATCATAACATTAATCACTGATTGCTCGTCAGTTGACAATTTATTATATAATTTGCTTTCTTCAGTACCCGCTTCAGTATATTTTTTTATTTTAGCTAATTTGCCTTCCAATTCGGTTTTTTTCGCTTTATTGTCTTCTTCAGAGTAAGTTGTGTTTACTCGCATTAAATCAATAATTAAACCAGAAAATTCAGTACTTTTGGCATCTTTTTTCCCTCTTACTATGGCAGCTACTTTAGTCCGAGGTCCTATTTTACCATCGTATTCAGTTTTGTAGGTTGAATTGGGTTTATTGTATTCCTCACTTGCTTTCACTTCTTTGTCAGCCACTTTTCACTCTTCCTCATCTTTGGCAACTGTAGTTTTTTGAATAACTACATCTCATTTGGCTTGGAATGCTTGTAAGTGTTTCAAAGCTCCAGTCGCATATTTTACACTAGTAGTTTTTTCGTGTTTATCTACTGCAGCCCAAGCTTCAGTTTTTTTCACCAATCCTTCTAATTCGCCTCTCAACGTATCATCTTTTTGGGATTTTTTTCAAGCTGCAGTAGCTTTCGTATAGATTGTGGCAGCATCTTTAAGTTTTGTAACATCATCCTTAATATCAGTAATTATTTTATTGTAAATTGCTTCTTTTGTATCTTCACCAGTAGCATCTTTGATCGCTGCTTTTAATCCATTCTGAGCAGTTGTTAGTTCAGCTTCTAATTTTTCCAAGGCTTTTTTGGCTCGGTCGGCTTTTTTATCATCATTGTCTCGCTTAGTGTTAACAATTTCTCAAGCCGTCTTTTCATCGGAAACAGTTGTTGCGTCTTCACCTTTCGTTTTGTAATCTCTTAATTTAGTCAAAGTATCTTTATCATAAATACCGTTGGCTTTAATCACTGCGGCAATTAATTCAGTGACTTTAGTTAATATTTCCTGTTTGACAATTTTACTATCATCATAGACTGATTTTCATTCTTCAACAGCAGCTGTTTTGGCTGTAGCTATTGCAGTTGCTAAATCAGCTGGAGGAGGAGTGCCGGTTATTACCACTTCAATAGCAGCAAGTTTAGTATCAATTCTAGTTTTTAGGGCAGCATTTTTTAATTTACTTACTGAAGTGCCACCAGCTGCTCATGGTTTCAAAATAGTTTTAGCTGCTTCCGCTTTGGTTCTATCAGTATAAGTTGTAGTAAGTATTTCTAATACCTCTCTCATTTCTTTATAGGCGGCTTCAATTTCCATAGTATCAGTATCAGTATCAAGTGGTTCATCAGTAGTAGTGCTGGCTTTTGGCTTCCAAATATTGTTAGTATTCATTTTAGCAGCCACATAATACCTATCTATCAATCCTACTTCATTAGAAATTTTATCAGTCAAACTATTATTTCTAGTTACTATATTTATCTCGGGAATATAATTATAATTTACTTCGGAAAAATCGGTGTTAAAAAAAGCAGCATCAAGCAGTCTATCTTTATCAGCAGCATCCATAATTTTGAATTCTTGTTTAGTCCTTACTTCTTTTAATGAATGTAAAAGGATACCATGACCATTATGTTTGATAGGACTAGAAGTTCAATCAAGATCAGCATCACCTAATTCAAAACCAAAAAGGTCTTTGGCAGTAGTTCGGCTTTCTTCGCCCCATTCTTTTACTGCTGTTATTATTGGTGCAGTAGTGGAACCATGATTGGCTAAATCACGAAGTTTGTCAATTTTCTTTTTGGTGTATTTAGCAGAAACAGTCGCTGACCTGTTAAATAAATGGGTAGCATCATCACCAGCGGTGGCTGTCGTAACAGTTTGGGTTGCTTCCAAAATCGAGAAACCTAAATATTGCCTTGAAGTCGGGAAAAAATCCTTAGTAGTAGTTTTGGCATCACCGGAAGCACTGGTAGTATTCTGAGTAGTAAATTCTAGGTCAGAAGCAATATTGGCAGCAGTACCACTTCCTCTACTATCAACATAAAAACCATTAGCGTTAGCCTGTACTATTTCATCTACTGTGGTTAATCCAACAATTTCATGTCAGATTTTAAGTTCTTGGAGTCTTTTAAGTCAATTATCTACTTTATTTTTATATATATTTCCTGTTCCGTCAGACAACTCGTAAATTGCTTTTGTTATGTCGGTAACCACACCTCCGGTTGTGCTACCAAATGTTTTTAAATAATCAATATTGGTTGTTTCATCAGTAGTAATATCACTAGTAACAATATAACGAGATTCTAATGTATCAAACAAAGCATCTAATTTAAAAAGTTCGGCTCGTGCTGGACCTTGATCGCCATTTGCTATAATAGTAGTAGAGTTAGCATCACCATCAGTAAAAGTAACACCATTAATATCTAAATTATTTAAACCACCGAAATCATTAATATCTAAATTTAATGTATTACCAGCAGTTATACTAAGTTCAGTAGTTTTATCTCCAGCAACATGAGCTTTTGTTTCTTCATACGAGAGACCTTTTATTCAAAAGTTTCATTCATGACCAGTGTGTTTCGTTTCTCTTTTTAAAAGTAGCAAATTACGTAACTTAAGTGCTTCTTTTTCATCACTACATTTGATCTTTACAGTTCTTAAATCAGCTGAACCGATGTTATGAGTGTGATCATCGTCTATTCGAAAACTATGAGCAGTGCCGTTCGTGGTACCATCTGCTTGCTTACCTTCCAAGGCTGCACTATCACTTTCCCTTTGGGCATGAGAATACGCAGTAGTTGTACTAGTAGCTAGAGAAATTTCTACTATAGTTGCATCTCCAGTATCAATCTTAACATCATTTTTGTTTTTTCCTTCTAAATTGAATAATATTCTTGTTGTCATATTTATTTTAATTTATTTTAATTTATTTTAATTTATTTTAACTCGGAATTATCCGTTCCAATCGGGATTTTTTTCACTTTCTAACCCCTAAACTTACTTCATTTTTTTTAGTCATTTTTGAAACTTTTTTTATAATTAACATTTTAGCGATTTTTATTTTTCTTATCCCCTTATATTTTTTCAATAATTTAGGAAGATTATTTAATCTTATCAGATGGTTTATTTTTATTCATCAATTCGTATCTTATATCCATTACCACAAATTTTTTTGTTATTGAAGTAATCTTTTAATTTTGAAAAATGCTATAACGTAATTTTAATGATTTTAACTGATGAAGTACTAGGAATTGAAACTTTTATTTATGTTTTTGTGCTCCTTGCGAATAAAAGTCTGTTCTGATAATCTTTTGAATATAACTACTCTAATTATTTTAACAAAGCCTTTGTATTAAGTGATTTTGATTAAGTCTTTTTCAATTAATTCTTGGAATTCAGAACTCATACGACATCAGTTAACTATTTCTACGTGAAAGGGAAGATTAGAGTTTTCAAATTCCTCCTTGATTTTTCTAGTAATCAAAATAGGAATATTGCCTTGATAACACAAATCTAAATCAGAATATTTTCTCGCAGTTCCTTTCACTCGGGAACCATAAGCATAAAAAGAATAGGGATATTTACAAAGTACTTGTAAAACCATTTCTAAATGATTTTTTTCTATTTGTAGCACAGACTTATTATTAAACTTGTATTTCGGGAATTTCTAAGAGTTCTTCCATTAACAAGTCCAGTTCGTAAATAAAATTGGGTAAGATATCAATCACATCAGTAGCTATCTGACCATCATAAGAATGAGCAGTGTCATCCCTTTTATCTTTAAATTCTAGCCAAGTTTCCACATTATTAATTAAGTTCTCTGAACCCGCTACTCTAAAAACTTCCTTAATAGCAGATGAAACTATAATACCTCGCAATTTTAATACCCTTCTTAAAATAGGATGAACTAATTCGAAACAAACTTCAAAAGCTTTGACAGCCCCTGCCTTTTCGTAATTACTTTGAGCATCTTGAACGATATCAGCAAGAAAATTCCGAGCACGAATGAGTGGTTTAATATTTATTTTTTCTTGAAGATTATTCATTTAAATGTACCATTACTCAGAACATTTTTGGCAATAGAACTCCACCGCTGTTCTAAAATTATAACCTTTGCCAAGTCCTTTGATAATAGGACTAGTTTTTAGAAAAGCTTGTCATTTTTCTTTGACAGAAATAGAACTACTACAATCCTCACATCTCACAAAATCAAAAGGATTTGTGACATTCAATTTTTCGCTACTTTCTACAAACTCAAATAAATCTTTATCCTTAACTAATTTTCAGTTTCTGCTTTCTCTATGCATATTTATTATTTTTATAGACTTATTAACTCATAATACATACTTTATTCATTATATGTTATATGTTTTGTTTGTTCAGTCATTTTCTTGGGTTCAATAATTACTTTTATTCACTTAATTAAACAACAATCATTAGTGTTTTTCAGATCCTTTTCCCGACGAAAATCTCAATTATTTTTCATAATTTATTATATGCTTAGGTTACGTTGACAACTTTTCCAATTTCACCATAATTAAGTCAATAAATTAATTCATATAAAATCCTCTGCAATATCCTTAATTTAGGCGGATTATTTAATTTCAGTAATTCATTAATTTGTTTTTCAGTTAAAAAAGTAAATTGTCTAATGAATGTTTGGGCTTGTTGGTCGGGCATATTACGAAAAAAATCATAAAATTCTTCTTTGCTACTATTTAGCCGCAAGGTCTTTTTATTACTTTCACTTTTGGAAAACTTGTTGCCAGCACTATCAGTTAACAAAGGAAAATTAAAAGCAAAAGTTTTATTTTGCTTCGCCGAAACTCTGTTTTCCGGATAAAATCCTCTAATCAATTTTAAGCCAGTAGTCAAATTCCCTCACTGGTCGCTACCACCTAACTGTCCCTGACAATTATAATTTTGGTATAAATAAAAAAAATCATAAGCTTGTAAGAGCGAATAACTAAACGCCAAATAAGATAAACCATTTTCGGAGTTTACCCGCTGCTTAATCGTTTCTTTAGCTAATAGATAATTAATGCTAATGTTACGCCCAACCTGGTCAATAAACTCGATAAAACTTACTTTGCTTAATCAATCATTATTATTTAATATTTGGTATTTGTTTGTTTGGAGAGGTCAAATATAACTTAAATATTTTTCTCACTTTTTTTCTTTATTTATTTCTAGTATATTATATATATTAATTAATAGTTCTGGATTATCAGAATAAAATTGTTCGAGAGGAGCAAAACCCACTTTATTTATTGTTTCTGAGGTCGCTGGTCGAATTACTATCCGTGCAAGTTGCTGTTTTATTTCCTGATAATATTGACTTAATTTTTTGGCTTCTAATTGAGGTCGTTCTTTTAATTTATCACTCGGATCACCAATTTTACTAGTGGCACCACCCAGCACTAAAAGCACTTGAAATCCTTGATTAGCAAAACGAATAGTTTGTATCAGTAAAAATAAATGGCCGATGTGTAAAGTTTCGGCGGTGCAGTCTATGCCTAGATAAATAATTTTTTCTTCGGGCTTTAATTGATAAAACTTTTCTAAATTAGCCGAATTAGCGATTACTCCACGATTTTGCAGGTCCTGAACAAAAACTTTTAAACTAGTGGCCATATATTAGTAATTTTTACACATATTGAAGAGATTTATAAATTAAGAGTTATGTTTAAGGCTTTTTTCACCTTTTCCATTATTTCTGGACTAACTACTCCCAAACGCTCTTTTCCTACTAACCGTAACTTCTTATAAATAGTGTGGGGATAATTACCTAGGATTTTACTAGGCTCGTCCAAACCTGTTTCCGGAGAATTCTCAATAAAACTTCGAACGGCTGAATATTAGCAACATCGTCGGTAGTGGTTGGCACCACCACTATTTTGTCATCAAATTCGTTCTGAAAATTATTACTAACTACTATACAGGGACGATAAGGCTTAGAAAATTCTTTTAATTTTTCAAACTTTACTATTCAGATATCGTCTTCTTTGGGAAGTTCTTTGCTGTCCATTGCTAATTTCATTATTTTTCTTCTTTCTTTCACATATCACTAATGGTTTCGTCCCAGCCTTCCATTTCTTTTTGGATTTTTTTATTTTTGGCAACGGCTTTATAGCCAGCAATGAGCTTTTTTTGGAATTCTTCTTTTTTTTGTTGTTCTGTCTTTTGTATTTTTTCCTCAACTGCCTCACTAACAAAACGGCTAATTTTTGGTCCGGCTACTTGGCGGAGTTTGTTATAAGTTTCTTCAGGAAAGTAAATATTAGCGTTGCGTCCTGCCATAATGTTATATTTTTTAATGGTCACAACTCCACCGCTCCAAAATCACCCCAAAAACTATTGAATGACTTAGCAGAAATAAAGCGGGTTTCTAAATCAGACCTCAAACACTTCCTCAC